ATGATAACTTAATATCAGAGCTTTTACTTTTCTGAACAATTTCACTCGATGAATTTAGAGAGTTTAGCAGTTCACACCTTTATATGAGTAATACCAAAGACAGACATCTGTCATTTTTGAAAAGTTGAGAAAAAGCTAATTTTTTGTAACATAGTTTTTTTTTATCATTCAACTCAATCATTCTTAAATAATCATCAGAAACAGTTTGAGTTGAACATATAAAACAAAATTGACTTTTTTTCCACTTTCTGAAAATGTCAGATGTTCATCTTTGATATAGTCTGTGGTACAGACCCCTTTTTATCGAATTATTAACATCCACCTGAAACTTCGTAAATCGTTTCATCTCATCGTAACCTACAACTATTTTATTTATGAAAACTCTTGGAGTTGGGGGGAGTTTCAAGCTGGAGGAGGGCAAACTTTCTATATTTAATTAGGTACTAAAAACTCGTAAATACCCATTTGCTTTCTACTTTGATCATGAGATAATTTGATCACAAAATCGAGAAAAAAGGTGACCTACAAAAATATTCCGGCCGTTTGTCCTATATAACCTCGTTATTTTGAAAATTTGGGGGTGTAGGTCATGCCAAACGGCTCAATATTTTTTAAGGCCACCTTTTTTCTCGACTTTGTGAACAAATTATCTTACGATCCAAGTAGAAAGTAAATGAGTATTTTCGAGTTTTTAGTACCTAATTAAATAAAGAAAGTTTGCTCCCCTCCAGATTTAAAATCCCCTAATTCCAAGTAAATAAAATAGTTGTTGGTTACGTGGAGATAAAACTATTTATAAAGTTTCAGGCAGATGTTAATGAATGGATAAAAAGGGGTCTGTGCCATGGACTAATATGAAGCCACTTTCTCTCTCTCTATATATATATGTTTGTATAAAATATATTTATTTAAATATTAAATAATTGACTACTATAAATTTTCAGTAATGCAAATTGCATCCAATTACAATTGCATTTTCAGTCAAGTTTCAGGATCGATTTCAGTCAAAATTTTGACATAATTAAATGATTTTTTTATGGGTTTCATGGTTTTATAGTCATTATAACCTCTTGAGTTGGAGATGTACTTTTTGGGAGATTCAACTTTTTTCAACCCACTCATTTTAATCAATTAAATTCAATTATTCAATTTCCCCAGGTAAGAAATAATAAAACAATTTTATATTTTTTCTTTAGATGTTTCTTAAAGTTAATTAAGATTTCAAATCAATAATTATGTTACCAAGTTATCAATTTATTAGTTGAGAATTTAAAATCTTGCATTATGGGTTTAATACCACCCCCTAAAATCTGTAACATTTTCATGCTGTAAACATTTAAATAGATTTATCACACATCACAAACAGTATTTACACAACATATATATTTATCTATATGTTTTAATATCTATATTTATTTGTTTGTTAAAAAAAAATATGGATTTACTATTTATATTTTGTCTATTAGCTATGAAAAACAAAATCTTGAATAAAGTTGATATTGTGGTTGTTTTAGTATAGTTTTATTAGCTATACTAAATTAATACTAAGTTAAATTAGCTAATTTCAAGTTAAATTATATAATTTAAATCATTAATAAAAATGAATGTTTTTTTAGAGGATCTTGTCTGTTGCTTGTTTAAAAATTATGTTTTACAATATAATAAATTTAGAATATTAAATTAAAATATTTTATTTATAACAAGTGGTTGAGCACTAAGCTTCCAATGCTCAAGGTCTCGGGTTTGAAACCTGGCTCATGGCAGAAAAATTATTTATTCAATTTCATTGGCCGTGGGACGATCCTGAGGTAGGGAGACCCTCCTGTGGCACACCCAGCCTCTATAAAGTGGGTACCCTTAATTAAATAATTAATTAAGGGAGAAAATCTGGCGATTGAGCATGATCCTGGCCTGATCACTTTCCTGCATAACCGTTGGCCTTTAAATAGTACTGTCCCAGGACCCTTCATGGGTTGTAGTGGTACAGGTTTTTAAATAAAGTTAAATTATATTATTTTGTTCCTGCATATCCAGTTGCCAACCAACCCTTTAGAATTGTCTTTACGGAGGCAAAAAAAAAAAATGTAGTGTTATGTTATATCAGGAGTCTCCAAACTAAACAGCAGCAAGCATCTCCAATCCGGCGCAAGTTTCTTTGATTATATGTTGAAATTTCAAAAAAACTATTTAAAAAATATAAAATTTAGCTTATCATTCAAACAAAAGGTTACTATAATATTTATTGTATGATTTTTTTTCTCTTTGAAAGATCATTTCACAACTGAAGTGTCTTTTGTAGAAAAAACTTCTTTTTTTTTTCGTCACAAGCTATGCCCGCGGGATATAGTAGGGGTCTCAATGTGGCCAGCTGGCCAAACATTTTGGAGACTGTTTTATATTATAATTACTACGGCCAATAAATGCAGGAATCTTACTGATAAGTACTATGTTTTACAGGTGAAATTTATTCGAGATCCGGATAATTATTGAGGATAATTACCCAGAAATATTTAATAAAAAAAAAAAAACTATTTAAACAAATTTGAGTCTACAATATATTGAATTGGTCCAGGATTAATTAATTGAATTTCTTTTCGCAAAGGCTGGTTTATTTTTATCATGCTTTCTAATTACCAACATCACCTGTGATCAATTTGCCCTAATCCCTCATCAATTTGTCCTACTTTAAAAATGAAGCTTTTATCTTCTTTAACTTTGAAAATTTGAAAAAAAAAAAAATGCATAGTTTTGGAGTCAGGGCCTAAAAATCTAAAAAAAAAAGTATTTCTATGTTTTTTACATATATCTTAAAACTCAGTGGAAAATTTTGTTTGTGAACTTCAAGTTCAGATTTATCATTCCAAAAAACCTAAGAGAAACTGACAATTTGAATTTTTTCCACATCTAACTACCATTCAACTAGACTAATTTGATAACTTTAACATCATCAGTTTTCAAAATCCAACTTTGTCAGTCAAAATGACTTGTCTTTTAGGGACACATATTTCACATCAAAATTTCAGCCGTCTGTTCTTCTACTGGATGAATCGTCAAATTTTGCTGCTTTAATTTAAATTTTCTTATAGATAGCAAAGGCTTTCAACCGACTAACCGAAATTGTGTGTGCAGATGAAGTTTATCTATAATTTAAAATTGTTAACAGACGATGAAACGGTTGGTAGCTCCTAGTCTATATTTAACATTGTTCATTCGTTTTGTTATTTTTTTTTTGTTTTTTTTTGGGGGTTTTTTACAACTTAAAGAGTCATATTCCCAATACCCAAAAGCCACTGCTCCCTGTCCATCCAATCTCCTTCACGAAGCCCTCTGGCTGCCATGCTTTCCTCCACGTCCTCTATCCATTTCTTCTTTGGCCTTCCACGCTTCCTTCTTTCAGGTGGCATATAGTTATAAATTTTCTTTGGCCAGCTGTTCTCATCCATCCGCATTAAGTGGCCATACAACTTTAACCGTTTGTTCCCGATCAGATGAAGGATGTTCTTTTGACATCCGACCTTGTCTCTAATAGCTGCGTTTGGGATCCGCTCGATTCTAGATATGCAGCATCTTCTCCAAAAATCCATTTCCATGGAAAGCAACTTATTTTCCATCTTTTTTGTCATTGTCCAAACTTCTGATCCGTAAGTGGCTACGCTTTCTACAAAGGAATGATATATCTTCTTTTTAGTTTCTAATCTTATTTCTTTACTCCATAGGGTTGAATTTATCGAACTTATTATTCTTTTCCCATTATTTATTTTATGTTCGATGTCAATCTCACTACCTCCCTTTGAAGATAACCAGTATCCGAGGTACTTGAACTGCTGGCTGACATTTACCGTCCAGTCATCAATTTCAAGGGGAAAATTTGGAGCGTTGAAAACCATGCACTCTGTTTTACTTTCACTGATCTTCAGACCCCATCTGGAATACGTGTCTAGCAACTTCCTCATCGTATAGCTCAGATCGTTTTGTTATTAAGAATAATAAAAACACAACAGATAAGGACTCGATGAAAAGATGCGCACACTTCAATGGATGATAACTTTGATATACTAAAACCACAACAATAATTAACCATATTCAATATTATTCAAGTTATAATGAAATGGTTAAATAAACTATACGATTGTATAGTTTTATTTAACTTTAAAATATCATTATTTTTTTGTGTGTGTGCGTTAATGTGCCATGTTACAGTTGTAAGAAGAGCAAGATTTTTTATGCGCCGTTGCTGAATGAAGAAACAAGATGGATCCTCGATTTCTCTATTTCAGGTGCCAAGAGGAGCCGTAATCCCTCCATTCAGGTCCATTCTACCCGTGTAGTTTGAATTGTGAGCCTTTTGTTCTCGTCTGGGCTTGGTATTATATTTCTATTCTTGCTGTCTTGTGGAGGATTAGCCGTTGAGAATTTATATTTTATTACAGATCAATGTTACTTTAATTTAATTGTAACATTATCTTATATAAATCATAAGAAAAGTTTATTAATATTATTTTTTTTTATCACTTTATTCCCATCTAAAAATTAAATAAATAAAGACTTTTTTAAGTTTTTTTTAAAACTTAAAATAAATTTTGATAACTTTTAATCAACATCTCACTGTTTTATGAGTATAGTAAAATTACAAAATACTTGCATTTACAGTAATTCATTTCTGTATAAACTATGATATATTTAAATTAAAAAAATAAAATATTGGCTTTTTCCTCCTTGTGTGTGTGTGTGTATGTGAGTGTGAATGTCAGTGATTGTTGATTGTATGGGACACGGGTAGAGTTGACCAGCTTTCTCACATTCTTCCAAAAAAAGAAGTAATATTTTTATATAATTAAACATTGAGACAAAAAAAAAAAATGTAAAAGTTATTTTAAAAAAAGGAAAAGAATTGAGAAAGCACGACCCCATCCCTACATTGAGCAGGTGGGCTCCAGCCAATCTCTACAATTACAGTTAGGTTATTTCTCGTAGCTAATGTAATTTTTTCTTTTGTTTAGCTTTACCCGAGGAGTCAGCCATCAACAATCGAGCTAGTGCTCAAGGTATGTGTACTAATTTTCTAATAAATAAATATACAATAATTAATTAAATTGTTTATTGAAGTAGGGACAGAACATTCAGACATTAAATTTGTAAAAGCAGGAGTACCTCAGGGTAGTATCCTGGGACCAATATTGTTTAATATATTTATATGTCTGACCTACTGCAACATAGTGACACCCTACTGGCTACTTTTGCTGACGATACCGCAATCCCCAGTTCAGATAAAAATCCTATTCGAGCATCCACCACTCTTCAAAACCACTTGAACGATATTGCTGATTGGGCCAAAAGGTGGAAAATTAAGATGAATGAAAAAAAAAGTGTGTACGTAGTATTCACTCTTAATCATACCCCTTCCCCCGAAATATATTTTAATGACATTGAAATTCCTGCATCCGAGGTAATTAAATATTTGGATTTTTATTTCGACAAAAGACTAAATTGGAAGACACACATTAGACAAAAACGTATGGAATTAAACAGATGATATGGTCTTTTATCTAGGTTACTTGACAGACGTTCAAAATTATATCTTTGACTAACAAACTAACCCTCTATAAAGTTTTACTAAAACCAATTTGGACTTATGGCATAGAACTGTGGGGTTCTGCTAAAACTTCTAATATTAAAAAAATCCAGTCTTTCCAGTCCAAAATTTTACGAAGAATAGTTGACGCACCATTTTATGTCTCAAACGATAGATTACATACGGACTTGAACATCTCAACAATTTCAGACACTGCAAAAATAAACTACAACAACTTTCACCAAAGGCTAACTTACAACACAAATCATCTGACAGAAAACCTTAGAAGCACTAGAAACCCGTACAGCCCACCTCGACGATTATGTAGGCAGTGGCCAAGAGACCTACTGAACTGAACTATTTCCTGGATTGTAATGGAACGCTGTGAAGCTCCCAAAAAATTTGCTCATTGCAAAGAAATTTGCAGATCGCAAATTTAATTTTTTTATGTCCAATTTTATGCTATGTATTAATAAAATAGAAAATTGTTTATTGGTTGATTGTTGTATAGTTAACGTGTAAAACCTGTTGGTTATCAACGCCGCTAATTACAATTTTTTTTTTTTATTATTTCTAAATGATATTTACATCTGCATTAAATAAATAGATCAAGTAAATTTGAACATATGTATATAATGATGTGAAAACACTTGATGAGTAACTACCCAATGGTAGCACTCTAGTGATATGTCTACATTAGGAGATCACGGGGCCATCTTGTTTTCAGACGCCTCGGGGGGTTATCAGGAATTGAAGAGGAAGCAAGGTTAGAAACGAGAGGGTTGGGATGGTTATTAAGTTTATTATGGAAGGACAGATATCTGTATTGGGCCAAATCTGATACATAAGGAACATTAAGGTCATTATGGATGATTTTATTTGTAACAAAGTAAGGAGCATTGAGGATTTTACGAAGGATTTTGAATTGTAAGAATTGGATACAAGAGAAATTTGAAGGTTTGGTGGAGCCCCATAGCTCAACTCCGTAAGTCCAAATAGGCCTTATTATAGTCATGTAAATGAGTCTTTTGTAATTAAATGGAAGGTTAGAGCGTTTGTCTAGTAAGTGTTGAAGTAGTCGGAAATGTCGAGCTATTTCTTGTCGTTTCAGTCTGGTATGAGGATTCCAAGTTAGACGTTTGTCCAGGTGGAGTCCTAGGTAACGGATTTGTTCAACAGGGATAAGTGAGGTGTTGTTAAAGGATACTGAAGGACAGGAAGTCATTAGTTTAATGGGAATCTTAGAATAAAAGATAGAAAATTGAGATATTGTAAAGTCTATCAAAATGTACAGACAACATATAATATAATAAAGAGTTAAAATAGAGAAAAGAAATGAAAGGAGGGAGGAAAGAAACTGAGAAAGCTGAAATAAGAAAGAGAAGAAGAAAAAACAAACCTGTCTCCACAAAGGTTAATGGAGAAATGAGAATCTGGTAGCAAGGGAGGGGGGAGAGAATGAAATGTTGGCAAATGTCAAAATAAATATTATCATTTATTTTGCCTTCTTATTTCTGACTGATCATCCCAACTATTCTTCTCTTCTTTATTCACGACAGTCAATTATTTACCCACAATTAATAATTAATTAAATTGTTTATTGGTTGGTTGTTGTATAGTAAACGTGTAAAACCTGTTGGTTATCAACGCCGCTAATTACGATTATATATAATTATATCTTCTGCTTGTGATTGATAAGAATAAAATAAAATTAAAAGAGGTTAAATGCAAGTTAAGTTTAAAATTATTCAAGGTTACTAGTATGCCCGTGCATATTGTTATCAAATGTCAAATTAATAAGAAAAGAAAATAATGAAACGTATCAAAAGATAAAGATAATTAATTTAAATCTTCATTTTTGTTTAGAACCAACATGTTTACAAATTTCAGTAAGCTGTATCTTTGCTAAACATGATCTCAATGATTTTTTTTTTCCTTTTGTAGGGAATTAAGTAATAGAACACGGTTGTCTTTCTATTTCAGTTTTTCCTCTGCTATTCAGTATATGGTTCATAACTCCTCAGGATTTTCTCCTAATTCAATGTATCTATGATCGTTGGAAAGCTGAGTTATTACTCTTCAACACAATATCAATAACTTTTAGATTTGACGCGTTTAAAAACAATAAATATAGAAAAACTCCTTAAAGGTTTTTGTTTTATATCTCTAGTTCTACTGTATTTACAGGGAACTGGTTTGTGTTATTTCGTGTAGCTTATGTAGTCCTAACTTAATGTAAATTTTCGTAAGGATACGTGAAGTCATTTTTATGTTGCCCCACTTTTTATGATTTTCGAAAGAAGATCGAAGGGGGGAGGCTTGATTCCGATTTGGTCCGAAAAAAATATTTTTTTTTATTCTATAAAAATTCATATTTGAGGCTTTATAGAGGTGCGAAATACAAATCTCAACTCTGTTTTTCCTTAAAAAAATATTTGAACCCACTTTCCTCCTTCGGTCAGTACAAATTGTTTCAACATCGTACTGATACTATAGCTATATGCCAAATATATAGTTATTTATAGAACTCTCTTAATGAATATTAATCGAAAATAAGAAAAAATAAATAATTTAATGAAAAAAAAATATTGGAAAAATCTCTAATCGAATTTGATGATTTTTTTTTTTCCTTTTGTAGGCAATTTAGTAATATTTTATATAACCATGGGCATAACCAAGGGAAAAGTGTATAATTCTTCAGTTATTCGCAAATAGAGTTTGTTTTCTTTCATAACTTGATTGCCTGAATTTTCGAGGTGATTGGACTATTTTGAAGGCAAAGGAAGCCTTCGAAATTGATGGCTCAATCTTGAGATTTGGTGAAAAGTTAACGATGATATGGTTTGCCGATCAAAACACCATCGATAAATAATATAAACTCCTCTCTCGATCATAGAGGCCTCAAGTCGGCGAAATGAGACATGTATTCAATAACAATACTACAATTAATGTAAGGTTGTGTGGATGCGAACCGTATGCCTTGCGTTATCTCAAAAATAGTACGTTTTTGGGCTTTGAAAATTTTGATGAGTTCAGTAAGACCCAGATAGTTTCTTCGGAACTATCGAGCCCTGCGTTCTTATGCCCAAAAACTACTATTTTCGAGATAACTCAAAGCAAAGGGTTCACATCCACACAACCTTACGTTAATTGTAGCACTGTCATTGAATACATGTCTCATTTTGTCGATTTTAGGCTCCTATGGTCAAGAGAGGAGGAGTCTATATTATTTATCGAAGGTGTTAAACCACATCATTGTTAATTCTTCACCAAGATTGAACCACAAATTCTGAAGACTTCCTTCTCCTTTAGGTGGAAAAAATAGTCCAATCATCCCGAAAATTCAGGCAATAAAGTTATGAAAAAAAGAAACTTTATTTGCGAATAACTCAAAAATTAGACACTTTTCCCTTGGTTATGTCCATGATTATATAAAAGATTACTGAATTCCCTAAAAAAATTATCAAAATCAGAAAATTTTTAGCTAAGAAACAGCTTATTGAAATTTTTAAACATGTTGGTTTTAAGTATCTGTAGTGCACAAAACAAAAGAGTTAATTTATGTGGCAGTGAATGCGCATGAAAGCAGTGTAAAGAGAGAGAGAGAGAGTCAGATGTTATTAGGAAATTTGAAGGGAACAGTGATTGGAAAAGGTGAAGAGACCTACGTTTGTTGGAGGAAACGTTAGTTCTCTCTTCTCTCTCTCTCTCTATCTCTGTAACTTCTGGAAGAAGCGGACTTATATGGATGAAGTCTTTGGTATTTTTGTACGTTATTTAGATTTATATTAGTTAGTAAATTTTATATCAGCTTTAGGTTAGTCCGTAAGTTCTTATTGTTTAGTTATAAATAGTTAAGTTCAGATTAAGTTATATTAATTATCTATAATCTATTGTTTATTTAGAAATTTCATTGGGCATTTTATAGTCTGTTCGTCTAAATTGTATACATCAATAATAAATGTTTTGATTTTGATTATTTATTAATAAAACATATATTAATTTTTGCTTTGTCGAGAAAGTAACAATTGATTTCTTTATCTTTTGACACGTTGCATTACTTTATTTTCCTATTAATTTGCCATTTGATCACTTAATAATATGCTGTGCGAATTTTTCGTAGGGGCCTGCTAGTTAATTTTAGTTGGTTTTTTCTAACTTTCTATAAATTAGCAACTAGTTTTGATTTTCATATTATGACAGTTAAAATATGTGAATTTTGTATTCTTAGGTATGATTCCAAACCCAGTATTTCCTGCAGAGAATGTTCTTGTAGGGGTACAATGGCATGTACCTATGCAGTCAACGACTTCCTTTATATCAGAAGAGTCTCCAAAAAGTGAGCTATAATAAAATGATATCTTATTTAATTTATTTATGTATCAAGAATTGTTTTATAGTTAATGGTTAATTAAGATACAAATCTCTCACCTTTGATCCATTTCAAAATGAGTTTTCTTGAACGCCTTCAACAAGGTTTGGCATGATAGGTTGCTGTTTTAAAACGTATTTTCTTTTTTCAAAATAATTATTTAGTTTTGTTTTTACGACTATTACTTGTTTTTAAATATGTTTGAGAAAAGTGTCTATTTTGTCCTAAATTTATTCGCTTTGGTCTACCCCATGGACAGTTACCAGTCGGCACAGAGCTTTTAACTTTTTAGGAATTCTTTCGTTACTAATCCCAGCGACTTTACATGCCCATTTTATTCGCATCAACTTAATCATCTGAATTATATTAACCAGTTACAGTGCAGCATTGAGTAAATTATCGGATTTACTCATCTTTCTTTGGCCCGAGTATTCTGCACAATATTTTATTTTCAAAAACCTAGAGACGCTGTTCATCCATTGAAAATCCTGTTTACCTTCATTACCGATTTCTAACCATCTGGAGATTACTGATTTTGTACGCAGCAAGTGAAATTAGTTGATGCTAAGTATACGCAAAATTTGATGCTCTACAACTTTGATCCTATGGGATTTTCCTCTTATTGAACTGATTTCCAAGTTACATGGACATTTATAGTAATTTGTCTCAGTTTTTGACAAATCAGCGTTGGTTGACCGTGGTTTTATATCTTACTGCGTAACCAAATTTTAAAGTTTATGTACTCGTTTGACACAAAATTTAACGTTCTTTAATTTTTCCTTTGTCTTCAAGGCTGAAGTCTCCCTCCCAAAATTTTTTGAACCACTTTTGAGTAGTGCACTAAACTCATTAATGCTGTTCTTATCCCAGACTTGAGTGATGTTTCTGACCATCTGGACCCATTCCGGCCGAGTTTAAACTTGTAAAAAAAAATCATTTGTTGACATCATAATAAAGAATGAATTATTTCAAAGAAGCGAAATGCTGCACAGGTAAACAAACATTATCGTTTGAGGATTAATAAGTGTTAGATAAAGGGGTATTTTAAAGAAAGTTCAAAATTCTGCATTATTTTCTGGACAACCCAATATAATTATCATATGGTTTACCATCTACACATATAATATAAACTAATATATAATATAAAGCTAAAATTATTTAATATGAATAATTCTACAGGTGAAGAAAAAAATGAGAGCGAAATGATGCCTCCACCTGCTACGGTCCCTCCCGTGCGGCGTAACACAGCTGTCTCTTCTGAAATAAAACGGGAATCTGAATCGCCGCCTTGCCTGGCTTCCGCTCTTCAGCAGTTTATCACTCCCGATGTGCCGCTTCCTTCATTATCTGTCGAGAACTATCTCTCTCGGATAGAGAGTCCGCCAGAGGGGCAAGTAGCCGCTCCGCAAAGCCAGGCTCTTGTAGGAGGAGAGAAAGTCGATCAGCTTATCCCGTTGGCAATGCCTCAGTTAAGCCTCGCACCGCAGCAACCCCTGGCACCGATCGTCTCAGCTTCTCAGATGATGATGGATACAAAATTAACAGGTAAATATAAAATATCGACAGCCACACTGAAGAAGCCTGTAAGAACAAAAACTAAAAACTTTCAGGAGACGGAAATACCTGTGTAATTTTTGTTCAATGAGTTCAATTATATTTTCAGTTCAATTTTTTTTATAGACCTAAGACAAAGATGTAATGCTCTATATAACTTTTTTTATCATATTTCTGCCAAATAATCTTTTAGAGCCATTATTTTTAACTTACAGCTTTTTAATTACTTTGAGGAAAACAGGTATTAGTTGGGTAGAAGCAATCAAATTTATTTCAGTAACACCCAAATCTTTGCTTATAATGGTCAAAGCATGACAGGAACGAAGTCAGTTTCTAAAATGTAGAGAAACGATTTTTTTTTTTTTTTTATAGTCTTGGCCCTGAGCACGTCGACCTCTAATGGGTCCATTGTGTGCCAATTTCAGTTAGTCGTTTTTAATTAAAACGTTAATCTTGTGGCTTCTGCGTATCTAAGTAGGCTGATTGGATTGACCGACTCATAACTACTGGGGAGATCCATTCGTTCCTCCCCAAATACCACCAGTCTCAGCCTTGTAAATCTGCATAGCGGATTTGTCATTACTCGGAGATTGAACAAATGGTAATTTAGCTTACAGTGACCTGTATAGATTGCTGTAAACTTTTTAAGGGCTGCTCTGTCCATACTCAGTAGCAGTTTACTTCAAAGAGAAACGATACTTCAAATGAAAATTTGTAAAAAACATTTGACTGGAAAGCGAGTATTTGATCACATGGGCTATTCACTTTTTTGTCTCCCACTGTATATTTTGGAGTAGTCTATCAAAGATTTGTTTTAAACTTACTCAACTTCATTTGGACGTGGTTTGATTCAAGAATACTCTGCAAGTTCTAGGTAACCTGCTGATACGTAGATCATTTCATTTCTGAGCTTATTGCGATTTCGAGGATTCATTGCTTTGAAAAGATGAAACTAAAGTTCTTTTTTCGCCTCCTGTTAAATTTTCCAAATTAATGAAATCAATTCTATATCTCTCACTATCTGGAATTCCGCATCATTGTAGCTTTTTTCCAATCGAGCTCATTTTGCAGTGTCCGGGAGGTTTCGATCGTTTTGAAGACCTTTCAATATTATATTTCAACTAACCACTCTTCTTTGCTTCCTTCCATTCTATGATAAGCGCTGCCGGCCTCAGAGCAGGGAAACTTGGGCATTTGCCCAGAAACTCCAGGATGGAAGTGTACATAACTTATTAGAAATTTAACAAAGGAATACAAAGCGTATGAGAAAAATTAATTTTAGCCTATTAATAATGTGAATTGATTCTGTAATCAGTCTCTGCGCAAAGCCCTTTATACAATCTGTATTTACATGATTACTTTTCATTGAGCATTTCGTTACGTTATTTCGGTAGTGACACAATTTCTATAACCTTCACTGTAACTTACAGTTTGTTACATTACGATTTGCTGGTTCTTAAATTAGAGGTTTTTACCAAAGCCCATAGAGGAGAAATGAAACATCGTAGATTTCATTTTTTGGGATCAGGATACGCATTAGGACGAGATTGACTCGAAAAGCTCAAAACCTCATTTTCCATAGAAATTGTCCTTACAAACTTTTTCAGTGTGGCTGTCGATATACTAAATTGTTGAGATATTTTTGAAGTGAAAACTTCTCTATGAAACTGAGCTGTCAGGCTTAGATGTGAAACGCTCATTCGGACAAAGTCAGATTGAATCAACTAACTGAAGTGTTTGCATTTGGTTAAAATATCTCAGAAACTAAAAAATCGAACCTGCATACTGTAAGTTAGGGAAATGTTCAGCATTTCATCCTCTTTGTAATGAGCTATTATTAAAAATTGTATATTGATGTGGTACAGTATTAGAGAGAAAATATAGTGTCAAAAACTAAATTATAACGAATTGTATAATTTTTAGACTATAATACTGATTTAGTATGATCAGTCGGAGCAAAGTTTATTAGAGTGATTTAAACGCAATTATAATTGTATATATTGTAAATGTTATTACACTTTTTGAATATCGAACAAAAAAATATTTATATTTCATGAAGAGAAGAATAGTTAGGGTGATCAGTCAAATAAGAAGGCAAAAATAAATAATATATAAATAAAAATAGATAATATTTATTTTGACATTTGCCGACGTTTCGACCTGAAGTTCAGGCTTTCATCAGTGCTAAGAAAAGAACCAGATAAAAAGGTATGAGAAACATAAGTAGTGTAGGTAAAACATAAAGTAAAATGCAGTTGTTAAAATAATATCAATAGTAAGAACTACGAGATAAATAATATTAACCGTTACAAAGTATGGAATGATGAAGTAAACATAATAAAAAAGGTGACATAAGTTAGATAGAAAATTAACTGTTCTAAAACGAACTATTCTATTCGCAATATCTTAATTTTACTATTTATTTTCATTTCTTATATAACTTCATATTCCTTTTTTCTGTGTTACATTTTATTCTAAGATTCCCACTTTAATACTTATGTCACCTTTTTTTGATTATGTTTACTTCATCATTCCATACTTTTATTATTATTATTTATCTCTTAGTTCTTACTATTGTCATTATTCTAACAACTGCATTTTACTTTAATTTTTTTTTTACCTACACTACTTATGTTTCTCATACCTTGTTATCTTGTTCTTTTCTTAGTCCTGATGATGGCCTGAACTTCAGGTCGAAACGTCGGCAAATGATAAAATAAATATTATTTATTTTTGCCTTCTTATTTGACTGATCACTATTCTTCTCTTCATTATTCACGACAGTCAACCATTTACCCACAATTATTTATATTTAATATTATTATAGCCTTGTTTTTACTTCTATCGTGTCGCCTTAAGCACTCACCTTAGGTTTTTTTTTTCTATGTTTAATTTTAACCTTATTTTCCTTTTATATTTATGTCAAAAGAGGGTTGACTGAGAACAGATTGTGTTTCGTTTAAGGTTTTTTTTTTTTTAGGCAGCATGAAACAATTGGCGCTCTCTTATTTAAATGCCTTTGTTTGAATTTTAAATAACTTAATTCTTTTTGTTTGTTGTACAGGACTCCTGAATGCTGATACCGATCCCATCATAACGTCAAACGATTTGCTATATTCTACTCCTGCTCCACAAGTCGTCTCTCCTACGGTAGTGCCTCCCGTTCTGCTTGAAGGATCTGCTCCTGTTCAAGACTTTGTCCCTCAGCAGAACAACGCAGTTCAACCTCCCGAGTATAACGTTGCTACGAATATCGTCTTGTCTGCTCATAACAATACTGCTATGATTTATCCTGAAAATCTTGCCGTGAATCCATCCTCATCGCTACAACCAGCTTTTCCTACGATTCTTTCCGAGCCTGTGCCAATGGCAGTATACGCTAATACGGGGAAAAACGCAGAAAAGATCGTCAAGCCTGAATTCCAGACTGGTTTACTTCAAAACATGAACGTAGACAAAAATCAAAAACCTGCCATTATCAATCCAGTTCAGAAGAAATGCGATGAAGGGATCCCTCTGCCTCAAGAACTTACTCAGATGTCAGAACACGATCTTTTGAGCTACATAAACCCAAGTTGCTTTGATCAGGGTAATCCCTCAACTTTCTCACAATTTTTTATTTGAACAAGAGCTTATTTCTCAAGATATTATTATTTTTTTTTCATGTAGTGTGATGAATTTAATGTTGTTGTATGGTTAATATTCACGTATTAACATTTCATATTGTATATTTTTTTATTTTAATCAAAAGAATCGCTCAAGAGATTCATTGGGAAAATTAAAAAAAAAAAAATATAACTCAACAGGGTAAAATAATTATCACTTCACATTATCATTTAGATAATAAGATATTTAAGTACAAAATGTCTAGTCTTTCTGTTTTTAATTTTTAATGCCACTCTGTTGTAATCGTATTTCATAACAAATCAAAGAAAATTTTCACTATCGCAATGCTTTCCCTTGCCATAAATAGGTAAGCGAAAGAAAAAAAAAAATTGATGATTTTTTATTTAATCAATTGTTTTATTTATCTTGTTAAATAATGAAATTATTTATACTGTTTTTCCTTTGTTTTATTTCTTGTCGTAAATAAAATTCGACGATGGCGTATTAGGAAACATGTGCAATAGTTATCGCCTCCTTATGTTGTTTCAGTCTGCTGACGACGTATTGCCACGGGCCCTCACACTTGCCTCAACGTCAGCTTTTTGTCCGTACGGATAAGGTTCAATTTATTTTCATATTTGTTTCCGAGATTTTTGTAAAATATTTTTATTAATTGCATGATCTTATTTTGATGGAGTGGCAAATGATTCAATCTGGTGAAGGATTAATTTTAGTTTCCTCATCTGGGTGCCAATAGACTGAATGCCTTACCCTCTTTGTATCTTTTAACACGGTAGGTTCTTATTTGTAAATATAATAAATATATAGTTTTATATATATATATATATCAAGTATTTTGTAGTTATAGCGCTCAGAAATATATATATATTTATATATATTTTGCATGAATTTCGTAGTTGTGATTGTAGACAGTGCTTTGTTTTTTTGTTACTCTATAGCATCTTGTCTCATTGCAGCAAGAATATAAATTCATGCTCTTAATGTTTTTAATATGTTATATGATATAGTTAACATTTAAAAAATTGTTAATCATTGAGAAATTTTATTAATCGCATACATATTTCCCAATCTTATGTACATTCTATCATATTAGCCTATATTTATATAATTGCTTCATATATTGTTGTGTAGTTATTTATCAATTAAGTATTCAATACTCTACTGTTACTATATTATTTTTTTTTTTTGTTTCATACAATTATAAATTATTGAAATTAATGTATAATTAATAAGTATTCATAGCACTGATATTGAATTGTTTCGAATGTTATTATTCAATATTTTTTTATTGAAATGCTACAATTTTTTTTTTTTTTTTTTTTTTTAGTATATTATATATAGATAGCCTGTTACAGATTTTGTAAAAGATTCTTTATTAAATATCGTATTTACTATGTATTGCTTTCTAACCTTTTGGTATTCTAAAATGATAACTCCTACCATGTAGCTATAATATATCCTATGGTTTGTTCTTGTAGATTTGATAATTTCAGAATAAATTATTTTTTTTCTCTATTTTTTTTTTCCCAATACATTATCCTTTAAAAAAATGTATTAATGCTGAATTGATTTAATTAGAAGTAACATTTATTAGTTATACATTTTCGTGGCTCACAATAAATTTGCCATCTACCTCGGTATTCAGCAAATATGATATCAAGGAGAAGAAATGATAGCATAAAGAAAAAAAAAACGAAAAAAAACATTAGTAAAATAACACATAAATAATAACAAACACTCTAAAAAAAAAAGATAATACAGCAAGTAGCTCAATGCAATAAGTCTCTTGGCCAGCGCCTCAGCAGTCTTCTGGGCGGATTATATGGATTTGTGGCAGTAGATAGAGCTTGAGTAAGTGGATTGGAATTTAGAGTCAGTCTGTCATGAAAATTATTAAAGCGGTAATTGGCAGTTGCTTCGATGAAAGGAGTGTTAAGGTCAGTGTGTAACTGTTCAGAAATTAATTAGAAGTATTAAAATTTATACAGCCAGTTTTGAGTCAGTAAACAAAGATGGAGATTGGTTTGAAGATCACTTTGACCACTCTGTAGATAGAATCCTAAATCAACCTGAGTGTTTTGGAGACAGGTGATCAATCTGCAATCCTTTGCATCACTTCAAGTCCCCACCACGTTTACTTCTTAACACATATATATATATATAGGAAGTGTCCCAAGGGTATAAAGTGATCTTCTGAGGTTATATTATTATTATTATTTTAAAATATAAGAGGGATGTTACAATATATATATATATATATATATATATATATATATTGTAACATCCCTCTTATATTTTAAAATAATAATAATAATATAACCTCAGAAGATCACTTTATACCCTTGGGACCCTTCCTAAATAAATAAGAGGTTGTTTAATAATAAACAAAATTATAAGAGAATAAATATATATATATTTATCTCAGGTGTGGGTTACTGACAATCAGATCAACTCAGACAAACAATTATTATTTACACTATTTATATTAAAATTAAACATTGATCTTAAAATAAAGTCAAGTATGAATTGACAAGCTAACCTTTTTTCTACATACAATGTTTCTTCCTTTGTGGCATTGAACTCATTTGTCTTCACTCATTTTCTTATGTTCTGCCAAACACATATCCCAAAATGGTAACACTATTCTTCCACTCAACTCAAGCTCTCTGGGAAATTGGGTTATTGCAATTCCAATAACTATTCTCCCTGCCAAACAAGATCTTCTAAGATGGTAAAACGATTACTGGGTTTTACCCACTGGAGCCAGAACCCCTTCTCCTATCCTCTCTTCACTACAGTCACACAACCGTTGGCAAAACCAAAACCTTTGCCCCTCTCCTCTTTAGGAAACTACAGAGCAGCCATTTTCTTTTCCTTGCACTAGTAGAACTAGATTAGCTTGTCTTTTAATTGTTCAATATTAATTTATTAAACCCTTTTTACTCACTTTCAATAAAGGTGTACATTACAATATATATATATATATATATATATATATAATATATATATATATATATATATATATATATATGAAGTGATCTGGAAAACTGTCAATTGTGAGGGCTCTTTTCTACCTTAAGCATGCCAGTGATGCCACTGTATGACCAAACTCGTTATCATTTGGTTTACAACACTATTTATTCTCTTTTGTCTCTCTAACACAGTGTCGCTTAAAGATACAAGTTTGAATAATGGCTCATTAGAAAGTCATGGGTGATAGATATTCAGGATTTTTTTTAATTTTAATTTTTTAGTTATGCCAACATTTCAACCCTTCAATGTTTGGTCATCTTCAGGGCGTGGTTTGAGCACTGAGGGTGTTAAAGTTTAACACTTAGTTAAATTTAACACGCCTTTAACACTTCATTACTTGAACACTCTCAGTGCTCAAACCACACCCTGAAGATGACCTACATGTTTGGGTTGAAACGTTAGCATAAATTAAAATTAAAAAAAAAAAAAAAGACTGCATCCTGAATATTTATCACCCATGATGTGTAGAATAGTCGACTAACTTCCTTCAATAACCCATTAGAAAGTCGATAAAATGTAGAAATTTTCCATCGCTTACAGTACACAAGTCCGATTTATAGGTTCTGAGATATTTTAATCCATATCTTCAACCTAATTCATTCCCTTTTTGCTTTCTAACACGGTGTTGTGTTAAGTTAAATTTTGAATAATAGCTCATAACAAAGAAGATAAAATTCTGAAAATTTTCCTCGCTTACAGTATGCAGGTCCGATTTTTAGTTTCTGAGATATTTTAATCCAAATTGGAAAACACTTCAGAAATTCACTGGTGTGCTTAAAGCATTAAAGAACCATTATGAGTAGCAGTTGTAACAATGTCTGGTGCTTTAACAAACAAGTTATCATATTTTTTTCATTAGTTTAACTATTTTTTGTATTTTTTAGTTTGTAATATTGTACCCTTTTCACTATTTTAAACAAATTGGTATGTTTTTAATTTAAACTTAAGTAATATATCAGCTTTGAGAAAAAATAAATAAAAATAGTTTTTGCTGATTATTGCTGAAAAGAAGTCAAATTAGCATTCAAGTAATAACATATAGATTAATAAATACATTTTTTGATGAAAATAAAGAAGAAATTTTAATCAGATTGCTGTATCTGTTTTGTAAACAGTGCCAATATTTCATTAAAACAGTTTAAACCTACAGTAGAGCTGTTGCAGTGAGCAATTGTTTAAACTAAACCAATTTATTCAATGTTTTCCAAATCCAGTGCTGAACTCATTGATGACCACGATTCGTCCAGTTTAAGAAGTATCTGATGCCATCGATGAGTTTCAGCATTGAGCTTAGTAACTTGCCCCTTCCATTACATTATATCGTTTAATGTAAAAAACTCTTTCATATAAACAGATTGGTACTAAACATCACACCACTAGCGTGAACTGACATCAAAATGTTGTCAGCTCATTTTCTAGAAAATAAACAATTCTTATACTTCCGAATAATAATTCTTTTGGATTACTTCTTACCATTTCCCTTAAATGGTGAGGTCCAGGATTGAGAGCATAAACTTAACGGTCTTTCTAAGATCCTATTGACTACCGTATTGTTTCATCGCTAAGTCAGTTTTGGATTACTGAGTACAGTATATAATTACAATGCCAGAAATTCAATAAAAACAGCCTTAAATAAAAAGTTAAAACCTTTATTCTTGTTCTAAGAGGATTTAAATAATTAATACATTAAGGCTATAGTCATCTTCACTATAATTTTCATTTTGAATATTTAATAGTTGACTGTTGCTTTATAAGGGAAGGAGATGGTCCGGGGTGGCTGGTCATAAATAGGCTAAATAGTGGCAAAACTATTTTATTGAAAGCTGACGTTTCGACCCGAATTTGCAGGTCTTCTTCAGGGCTAGAACGGGCAAAGAAAACTCTTTGCCAGATACTTCTTGTCCGTTCTAGCCCTGAAGAAGACCTGCAAAGTCGTGTCGAAACGTCGGCTTTCAATAAAATAGTTTTACCACTATTTAGCCTATTTATGACCGCCACCCCGGACTATCTCCTTCCTTTTTAATTTTCACTTTATTAGTTTATTCTGCGCTTCGGCTGAACATGCTATTCTCAGGTATAATCTACATTTTTTCTTATAATTAGTTCAATGACATTTATTCACACGTACTAACTTTTTATAAAATTATTTACTTATTCATGATATTTACAATTGTAGTGGGATATAAATACATCTAGTAAATTTGTACATAGGAATATAATGACATGAAAATTCTTGTAGCAAAACTACCCACTGGTAACATTGTAATTTATAATATTATAAATCTATTTAAGATTCAGTCTG